CAGCCTCGAAGTGCAAAGTGCTTCTGCAAGATTGCTGTGATTATGTAGATTTAATGTTAGATAATGAAGTCATGGGGGTTGTTGACTGGTTTGTATATCTGGGAAGCTGCTTCAGCGGCGGCGGCGGCGGCGATGTAGGGAATGAAATAGAGGCGCGTATTTCCAAGGCTAGGGCGGTAGTCGTCAATCTGCGACACCATTGGTGACAGAGAGATATTTTCCTAAACCTTAGGGGTCGTGTATACCAGACAACAGTGAGGGCTGAATTACTTTACGGCAGCGAAACCTGGCCGCTCAGGGTAGAGGACGTGAACCGCCTCCAGGTATTCGACCACCGATGTCTGCGTTCAATCGCTCGCATTGGGTGGCACCAATGAGTAAGCAACGAAAAGACTAGGAAGTGAGTGTTTGACACTGATTGTCAAACGAATTCTTTTGTTCAGTCACTACATTTGTACAGACTTAGATGGGTAAGTCATGTACTAAGGATGCCAGCTAGTCGTTTGCCACACCGAGCACTGTTTGCCGACGCTGCGACCGACTGGCGCACGGTTCGAAGTGGATAGATAATGAGCTGGCGCAGGAAAATGAAATCGTTCACGAAGGGGTGGGGCACTGTAGATCGGGTTCGTCTTCTGGACTGGAGCCCTCGCGATTCGCACAGTTAGTGGCTTGAGACGTTAGGTGAGATGGCGGCTAACCGAACTCAGTGGCGTGAATGTTGCCGTTGTTTGGCCCAGTTTATTTGAAGTGAGGGCGCTTAATGACAATGAAAGCCGTTAGGAACCTGTCTTGCTGATGACGCCTTACTTTCACTTACAGCTCGGTTGTTTGTTTGCAAGGTGATGACACCTTGATGTTGTGTGTTTGAATATAGACGTAGCCATTTTTAGAAGTTAGGTCCATTCCCCTCTTCTTCTTTTTACTCTCCTCTCATATAGGTTCCCCCCTTTTTTCCTTCGTGGTTGTGTGGCAGTTAAGCATCAATGTGAACCACTGATGTATTGCTGTCTATGATGATGATGATGATGGTGATGATGAATAACACGTGCATGAAGCTTAGTAGTGATGATTCACGATTAGGCGAACGGCTTGGTTTGAGAAAAGAGCTAAACACGGTCTCGCCGGCGCATAATAATTCCCATAATTTGCCACCCACTTGTGGACTAACACAGTCTGATGAACTCACAGTTAGTTTTCTATTAGCCGTTTGTAATGTGTGATTGATAGAAGATTTTGCTAGAACGTCAAACCTTAAGTCAGTCCAAAATTGTTTATATTTTGTCAAATTTCCACGTCAAGCTTAAAAGCCACATTTTAACACTATTTGTGCACACACTATCCGACTGTATAACTGTGTTTGATTGAACATATATATTTTGAAATATATTTTTTCTGTCAATACCATACCCTGAGAAAGTCACTCGAAGAGCCTTACATTTCTCTTAAAGAGATCATTGAATGCAATGAACTGAACAAACGAGTACATCAGGGTCTGAACATGAGGATCGCTAAACAAGCTAAGTAAATTCAATTTAGATTCCATTTGGCTCCGTCAAAGGCTCTCATGTCGCAGATGTGCATGGAGCTAGGCAGACTTTCGTCGTTTCCGTTGAATTGATCGATACACTGCCTGACATTCTCAGGCGGTCGGCTATTTTTTGTCTGTAAGACATTGAATCACCAACGTCGTTAAATGTTGGCAGGGAGGTTCCTTGCGTTCTACATACACAATTGGTGAGAGGTAAACTATAAGCAAAAGGAACCAAGATGGAAAATGCAAGCTGGTAATGATATACTGCACGATAGTTGTGTAAACTGAGATCGTCATATTTTGCCGAAAGGAGAACTGAAGAATTAAACAGCTTTATGCCACTTATCAAGATGGAGGTGTGTGAATACAGATCATTATCAAGTTAAGGAAAATTTGATGGATATTTTGACGCACAATGGTCACATCATTCATTTGGGAGCAAGTGCCTCGACAATGCTTAGTAAGTGTCCAATTTGGTGGATGAAACTTGTTGGGAACACAGATGGATTTTCAATCACGGAATTTGTTTCCAACATGTGACATGCGGTAATTAAGACCGATGTCTCGTTTGCACTGTGGTTGGCCTCGTCCGCTCATATCTCACTGACTGGCTGACACCGGTACATACCTGCTTAAAAAAGTGCACCGTTTTTCTGAAACGCAGCTACATCGGTCACATCTACATAGGTCGAAACCTGCCCACAGAAATACGTGATGTCCGCAATACGGAAATAAAAGACTAGATGAATGATCTCTTGAATTGAAATAGTCAGATACATGTGGTTTTCATGGGACTGCTCGAATACCACTGGTCAGTAGTAGAGAACAGACATTTGCGTTAGCATGAACGTTGATATATTGTTGAATTAAAGTTCATACGCAGTTGCGTCAATCAAACGTTTCCTTGAGAGAAATTCTGTTAAACTGTTTTTTTTTGCGATACACCCTATCAAGTTTGACATCTCATTTCATTGAGGCGATTTTTAAACCTGTTAGCTTTCGAAATTGCCGGTCGAATGAGGAACGATCTCCTTTAGCACAGCTGGGTCTGAAATTGACGTTACATAACAAGGGTAAATTCAATCTGAACATGAGTTGTATAAAAAGAAAATCTTCTGTTTGCAGACTCAACAAAACTTTCAGTTAAATTTGGCTAACAGCTCTTAAAACCACGATCATCAATCGGACAAGAATACTTCAGTTTAAAATGTTAACGTTGATTTGATGCAACGTCAGAGTTAAATAATCGGCTTTGGGGCGTTCCACGCGGTTCTACCTCGCCACATACGACGTCACACCTTCCACATATTATGTGGTTGATAATACGCCAACGCGTCCACCATGTTATGACAATCTGTGTTGACTAATCGCAATCCAACACAAATCGATGTAGCTTGCCCACGCCAACACAGAGCCATTTCGGAAGGCTTCTTCGACTTTTGTCTGACAATTACGTGATGCTTTTGCAAAATAGTCGGCTTGACAATAACGTCTAGAAAAATATTTTCACAAAGTCGGCCAGAAATTAGGCAAACTATGGTATGAACATGATCATGGCTGACGAATTTAGTGGTTACACATTCGAAGTAGACAGCAATGTGACTAGATAGACTTTGTAGTGCAATTGGGAATATACCTCCGCCGGAAACGTAAGCAGAGGAGCTGCTGTCAGTTGTTGATCTGAAATGGGGCTGATACGGAAGAGGTGAAGATAAATTGGGAGTAGTTTATTAATTTGCCATGAGTGTACTCATCATCAAGACGACTCAGAAATTATGTGAGGTGTTCTCGCTCCAAAGTGACTAGCCATACACAGTCGCAATCACACACAAATTGTTATACGATTCGGACCATATGAATCTTTGGAATGGATTGGGATTGAAGGCTATTTTGAGTTTTGTGTAGAAACAGACAATTAAATATTTACCGTCATTTCGATTGGCATATATTAAATTATATCGCATATGGTGTACACTGTTCGTGTACTGCAGTTTGCAGTATGATGTACATGTTTGATTTTCTGTTGTATTCGAGGCCAAAACTTGAATGATAACTTTATATCAGGTTTCGATTCACCATATGTCACTGACAACTTCCCTGTTGATACTGTTTGGCCGGAACGCAGTGATGACTGTGAATATAATGAGGGTGTGGTTGTGTTTGTTTTATTCTCTCAACATGACATACAGAACTTGAACGTGTTTTGTTCTCCATCGTTCTCTTGAAGCTCAGTTAAACGTCACTCTTGGCTTTGTTGGTAATGGTGGTCAATGCACCTCATATCAGATTTCCCCCATAACTGTCCGTTATCCGCTACCTCGACGAAAGTAGCTCTATGGCCCTTCAGTTATACTTTCACATATGATATCACAGTTCAACATGCGGTAACTATTACCATCGCTAGATACCAGGAATATATTTCGAGAGTTTTCAACAGTAACGTAATGAACTAGATCCCCACATAAGAAAAACAATGTTGTCTAGTCATTCTCGTGTCCAGTACTACTGTCAACTACAGTTCGATGGTATTGATGAGGGACATTTACGCTCGGATCCTCTTGCTCAACACCACGCCGATGATACGGCCATTCAGTGTTGATATGGATCACTCGTTCCAGAGTTCCCATCAACATTCACTACGGTAGTCGTGGTTCATGTGACTAATCCAGACCAACTGATAGAAAGAAAAACATTCCAATTCTGCCATATTTTACAAGCCAGCAATCTCTGACAGATACCGTAGTTACCGTGACAGAAATTCTATCATATCATGCTTATGCTAGGTGATGTTCTTAGCAACGATGTGCAGGGTATAATGTCGAACCGAATTGGTTCAGTAGGGGCTCAGCCTGATATGGTACCAAGTTCCATTGACAACAACATTATGAATTGCGGCAAATTTTAATTATCAATGACATTACTACCCTCGATCCGAGTGTTGATGTTAGCAGGTATTTTCACAAGTAATTTCGAAACATGTCAATTAACTACTAATTGTGATATCAGTCACACTGCCATACCGCTTAAAATCGTTTCATCACTAAACCAGAACAACTGTCTGTTTTCACTAAAATTCGTCAAGATCCAAAAATGAACAAAGTAACAGACAATCTAATATATTTGACAAATGAAATAGTTTAATAGCTATAGAAGAGGATTACTGTGGAAACCGGCATTCAGTAATTACATACGTTTCACTTATATCCTTCTTTTAAGTCGGCACAAATGCGCATCAACATGTTTGTCAAAAATTGAAGGTCGATGAGTAATCCTGGCAGAGGTGCGCGGAACTAGTAAGCTTTAGCTTAATTCTAGCGATTACAGTTACATTTTGTGTATACAGAAGATACAAGGTGAAAGAGATCGAAGGGTTAGATCAACCTTATGTCACAAAAAGACGAAACGTTCATGCTTACAACTATCTATGTATTAACCGAGAAATAAGAAAATGTTATGCTCCACAATCGCCTCCATAGCTCAATGGATAGGGCACTGGTCTAGTAAACCAGGGGTCGGGGGCTCGATCCTCCCTGGAGGTATTTGAACCCACAAACGTTTGACATGAATGTCCTCATTGGGTAAACAATGCTAACACTGCATACCATCAGCATCACTTGGCCAGTGATTTGTTGTTGTCGAGTTTTCGGGTAAGCTTCTTCTTATCATAATGATAACCACCGTACCGTTTATTGACAATCGGAAGAGAGTCTGATGGTCACTGTGTATGATTTTAGTGGTGCGTCACTGTACTCGCTGATCTGGGCAATTGTTTTGTTCAGAATAGTGATGGTGAGCAGGTCTGCTGTCTTACAAGCTGAGTGATATAACTGGTGTCTTGTCAACTGATTTACTGTTTATATTTTTCAGTATCTCTGTACATATGCTGACTTGTTCATCTGCGATCCAGTCTGGATGAACTAATCTGCTTAACATAATTGGGCTATTCAGCAGTGAAGTTGTTTAACAGGTGAAGATAGCTGGCTAAAATATTTCATGCTACACCATTCTGTGAGATAGTGGATGACTTGGAATTATGCGAGTTATCTGCTGCGGATTATCTACGGGAAATAATGAGATTGATCATCCCTGATACCAGTAAGCAAGCTCGACTAGATGCACTAAACGGAAAATGCTGGAGTATTGGTGGTTAGTTTGTCCAAGTCTTAGCTATTATCAAGTGATTTGGTAACTGCGGAAGAGATTGCATGGTTGCAGCTCATCCAGTTAGTTGAATCCGACTCCCAGCACTCCTTGTTCATTCGCATTCCAATGCAAACAGACGAGTAACACTGTACTACTGTTTGCTTTAATGATTTCTGCGTTAAAAGCAAGAGACCATGAACGAAATATATGTCTGTATGTTCATAATGCTGTTGTTCACATTTCATTAAATAACAGTGATTTCAGACGAATCTTGTAGATAGTGTTTAGCTAGTAACAAAGTAGATGCTTGCATGATAATTGCTACTGATTGCAGCAAAAAGAATGCAGTTCGACGTGTGCTGTCAACGGTAAACATTGCAAAACAACGTAGCATCCACGTGACAAAAGGTAATGTTTGTTTTGCTAATGACCTTCAATCGTCAAACCATTGTTTGATCTAAAATTAGAATCGTTCTTGAAATATTGTCCGAGGGCACCGGAGAGTTGGGGAACTCATCATTGGTGTGTTTTGACAAAATGTGGTTAGGCCAAAGACTTCCCTGATGCTGTTGTATGAAAGTGACAATCGGTAGGCCCAACAGTCTATGAATCGTGCAGACATTTTATCCTTTCAGGTTTGTTAAACTTGTGTAGCGGGCATCGCTGTCAACTCAGATTTTTAATCTTATCAGACTTACTAAACATAAAAAACAATTGTAGTGTGGACAGATTGCTCTGAATTAGAAGTGAATCACCAAAAATGGTTGAGAAATACGAATGCAAAATATTTTTAATTATGAACATAATTTACAGCTGTTCAAAAGATAGAACACATCACCTAAGTGAATTGGAAATTCAATGTTGCGACATAGTTGAACGTTCGAACGTGAGATACCCACCAGTAGGTTTGAGAAGACGTGAAGGTGAGGCAATGGATCTGTAAGTACGTCGCCATATTCAACTCACCACTCGTTTTCGAAGTAAAACAACATTGACCACAGAATGACTTATTTGCACTTTTTTATCGCAGTCGGTTTTCTCTCCCTACACAAAACAATGCTTTAGTCACAGCGATTAACTATTCAAACAAATGTTTCCACTGGATTATCGCAGTTGTAAGAACCTGTTGACCTAAAAAATAACCACTAATTAGACAGCAAAGATCCACACTGGTCTGACGGTCAAGGTGTCTGCAGCGTTTCCTGCACCTTCTGTTCCCGATATGTTCATAAGTAAAACAGATTTGATATGTTCACGCCCATCAAGCAGTTAAGTGGTAAAACGTTTCACATGTTATAGGACAACCAATCTAGACGGGCTGGCCTAAAACGGTGCACCGAGAATTTCATGCCACAATCGGTTCTTCATTGAGAGAACTCAGATCAGTTATTCGGAGCAGTTATGACACGGTCACAGTTATCTCCATGGATGTTGTGTAATTTCTGCTTTGGTTCAATTTTTCGTTACCTGCCAAATCATCTCTCGACATGCACTTCGCCAACTTGTTTCGGATCGACTACGACTGATACCCGTACACACTGCATGTTTTCACTGGACACATTCTGAAGTGTTCAGAGGATCTGTAGGTCACTCCGGAAATACTATGCAAATGAGTGGAAACGCGAGCCTAGCGTAGGCATCCATACCGGGTTGTAAGTCAATAGCTGATCATGTGTGAATCCATTCGGCAATATGCGAAATGCTGTCATTGAACGACTATGGTCAAATTACGCTTTTGCTGTCGGACGGGTTGCCTCTGTTTTACGTCGAACACACTCGTGCATATGATAGAGCTAGTTATTAGAATGAGAAGTTTTAGGTTCTCATAATTTCCTGAAAAATGCTCAGTGAGAACACACAGTGGCGTGCTTGGTTCGAACGGTTTTATACATTCAACCTATCAATCCGTTTAGCAAGAATACTACGTTATGATTGAATTTATCTGATCTCCACTCAAAGTTAATTGTTGCTTCATCATTCACGTGTACTTTTCAGAATGTTTACTGGTTTGTTGCTCTTTCACGGACAGTATTGTTCGTATTTCATCATCCGACGGCAAAGAGTATCCAGTTGGGGCTGTCTAGTTTCAAGCTTACTTTCCTACTCTGTCATATTGAAACTAGTGTTTGTGTTCGACGTTGTAAAGAACAGTCTGTGGATAGCAGTCGTTTTGTTGGTTATTCACTTCGGTACATCACCTGTCGGTTGTCAACCCCATTCTCTATAGGTTACTTGTATTGTCCAGACCAGTTCAATGAGGGCATTTCAAGAACCGTGAACCATTATTTATCTCCCATCTAGTAATTTGATAATACTGCTATTTCTCGACGTTTTAGGACTCAAAGCCACATTGTTTCCGGCTTTTTAGTGGGACATCATAAGTTGATACTGTCTGACAGCTACTTCTTTTATTCAAAGCGGAGAGTGTTATCTTCAGACAGCTTGACTAATGCGGGAGCCAATTTGCATACTCGATTAGTTACGTATGCATATTTTGCAGTGCTGAGTGGTGTTTTGTAGAGGCCACATAGAGATCTAACAGTAGACATGTAAAACACTTAAGCTTGTTTAGACAACTGAAAAACGCCCAATTTTGGAATGTATCCTACTCAAAAGATGTTTGGGTGTTTTGTGGGTTTTTGCAGTTGTGTTAATTATGCCGCTACATATGGATTGATGCTTCTACCTGACAAAATTCTTTCAAAGCATCGTACTTCATAACTAAGAACAGCAACACTATATTCGAAGAGGCACTGGCGCATTTTTTGCATCATAGACTCTTTGAAATTTATTTATTGGATTGAGAAGCTGTCATATTTA